ATGTGCGTTTAATTGGATGCTCTGGAACGAGATGAAGGCCACCGATGGGACTGATACGGACGGCGGCCTCCGTCGTATGTGGTGCGAAACATATTTGGCCAACCTAAGGGCGTCAGAAGAATCCCTGAAGATGCTGGCACTCCACATACGGCAGCAAGAGAAATTACCCCGCCACAAACGCGAAGAACGACCCGAAGAGTACGAGTACGACCTCGAAATGCTTTACACACTGGTTGGCAACTTCCGGGACCTGTTCTACGGTGTTATACCCGTCCGTGAGTGGGCCAAGATCAGGAAGCAGGACCACAAGCAATTGGCGAGTCTGGAAAACGCCATCAGGCCCGCTCTCGCACAACGCCACTAGACATTATCGTCATCGAGTAGCACCGGTGATCCAGTGGTAAGACACCGCAGAACTGGGCAATGGATCCCAGGTTCGAATACTATCTATGTTTGGGTTTAGGTTTAGTAAGGTTTGGGTTTGGGTTTGGGTAAGTGAGGAAAAAAAGGTTCTGAGTGGAGGAATTTTAGTGTCTAAAATCAGGGAAAAAACTAACAACAGCGAGGACCCTGACGATGCCCCAATCTACCAACGCCCGTCACCCGACGTTTTGATTGATCTTGGTAATGGCATACTCATGGAGGGTGCTCAAAGGGTGGTTACGGCCAAGCGGGCGAACGCCGGTTCAGAAGGCTAAGAAGCCGAAACGAAGAAGTGGGTATTGAGGAAGTGTAACTAAGTGGCCAAGTCCCCTGCTAGTCCAGCTGCCTACCATTGCTCACCCAGGTGGCGTCCGCACGCACTTGCGTCGGCCGTGGGCAGTCCTCGGCCACCGCTTCGTTCTCTCAGTAACCTTGCATTATGGGAGTGCCATCAACGAACACCCTTCCCAGCCGTGATCCCCTATACTGCCGGCACTTTCCTCTTTACCAATTTTCGACCCGCCAGACGCCGCAATACGCTCTCCGAAAGGACCGTGGGCCTCCCAGGTGCCATCAACCCGCGCTCTCATCAACTGTGTGCCAGTCGTCTACCGACGTACATCTGTCTACATAGACCGGCCAACTGCCCCCACTCGATTCACATGACCACAACCCCAAGCTGTCATCTCCGCTTCGCTGCCTGTCACGTAGCCTCGATTGTCTTCTTCGTTGCCGTCTCGTCAGCTTAACCTTCCGTGTCACGAAATCTTCATCTTCAACCGACACGTGCGTGTCATTGGAGGGGCAGAAACTGCCATAAAATCTTTTTTGGTGAACGAACTTTTTTCACCTCCCATCCTACTATTTGCTCTAGTCAGGAGATTCCCAAGTGCAGAGAACGGCATACGAACCCGGAAGTGGATACAACACTCTCGGGTGGCACTTAGAGGGCAGGTACTCTCGGAATAGTTTCGCACTGGGACTGGACAGAGTTTCGCGCTGGGACTGGAACGAACGTGTGTTTGAGCTGCGCGTTTTCTTCAATCTTCGGGTCCCCCCTAGTGGGTTAAGGCGCAAGGTGTGGGTGGTGCTGTCCCATGAAGGCGCCACGATGTTTTGTCATCCAGCCAGCTTCTGCTCAGGGGCAAAGTTCGGATTTTTTTTGAAGTGATGACGAGAGGAGTGGAGAGCAGTACCGGGAACGTGGGTCGTGTGCTGTGTGGTGGATTGCTTAGTTCAGTGATTGTGGATACGGATGCGGCTTCTGTGACGCTTCGAGGCTCCCAAAATGGTTTGGTTCTATTGTTGCGAGCAGGGGCGGCTAAGGAGAGTTACAAACTGTCGGAAATCCACGACGGAATTATCAACTTGCGCAGCGGTAAGCCGCGGTATGCGCACCTTGTCACATGGTTGGCCAAGCAGCCCGAATTTGAAGCCCT